GATATAAAATACCCTCAGTTTTAAATGGATCATGGATTAGAATCCCTTTCCCGTTGGGCTAACCTTGGGAGATTTTCGTGATTTTCTTCTGCATGTAACGCAAATGTGGGTTAGTTCCACTAAAAAGTCTTCCACTAGTTTAGCTAGTTTATCTCAATACTTCCTCGAGGAGTTCTCTTCCTTCTGGAGGGGACTCAAAATTACAAGGCAGCGGAGTTGAATATTGCTAGTCGTAGACTAAGAATTTGGTTAAAGTTTCTCATCTACTATGTCCTATAAAAAAAATTTATCAGAAAAATTTAAAATAACTGGAAACCCTAGCATGTCTGAATCTTTTTATCAAACTTACTCAATTTATTTAAAAATTACACGCCAGCATTTCAGAATTTATTTTATTTTATTTTATCCGTCGTTGAACAGCCGACCCAATTTTTGGTTTACGTCTACTAATGTTCAATTCAGTAGCCTTGTAATTTTGAACCAATCCGGAAGACAAGGAAACTCCTGGATCAGTACCCCCTGTATTGATTTGTTATGGGAACATGAAGGACTTTGCAACTCGACAGATTTTACGTGCATCAGTCACCATTTACTACACGGGGAGTCTTCGACCGGCACGGATCGAACCCACGAACATTTCAGAATTAAAATTAGTACACTGTCCGAATGCCGGGATAGCCTGGTCGGTAGGGCGCTGGGTCCATGTCCGAGAGTTCGTGGGTTCGAACCAGGGCCGGATTTAAGCTTGGCGGGGCCCTAAGCTACTGAAAATGATGGGGCCCTTTTAAGTTCAATTCTATTTCTATACACCTAAAGTAAACTGTCGTATTTTTTATTGCTGAATATTAACATTATATTATTAAAAATTTGATAATATTGCTTGATTGTTAAATATATTGATTGTGATGGGACTATAATGTAGAGCCTTTCTATTATTACACATATTTTTTGAACGAGGAAAAAAACTCATAAGCACAGAGTAAAGATTTGGCATGTTAGAAGAACCATTATATGTTTAACAGAGTTTTTTTTTCTNTAGTTATAGGCAAAATTGAGAACTAGTTACAGTATAAAACTTTGCATGAAAATTTTAGGAAGTAAACTTTTCCTTACCAGTCATTGAATTTACTAAAATATTAAAATCTACCATAAGATTTAATAATTCCTAGTTTCTTTGAATCCAAACAATTCTATTAACTAAGCATTTTTATCTTCTTTTCAGTTCATTCGAAAAAAAAGTAGTTATAGGCAAAATTGAGAACTAGTTACAGTATAAAACTTTGCATGAAAATTTTAGGAAGTAAACTTTTCCTTACCAGTCATTGAATTTACTAAAATATTAAAATCTACCATAAGATTTAATAATTCCTAGTTTCTTTGAATCCAAACAATTCTATTAACTAAGCATTTTTATCTTCTTTTCAGTTCATTCGAAAAAAAAGTAGTTATAGGCAAAATTGAGAACTAGTTACAGTATAAAACTTTGCATGAAAATTTTAGGAAGTAAACTTTTCCTTACCAGTCATTGAATTTACTAAAATATTAAAATCTACCATAAGATTTAATAATTCCTAGTTTCTTTGAATCCAAACAATTCTATTAACTAAGCATTTTTATCTTCTTTTCAGTTCATTCGAAAAAAAAGTAGTTATAGGCAAAATTGAGAACTAGTTACAGTATAAAACTTTGCATGAAAATTTTAGGAAGTAAACTTTTCCTTACCAGTCATTGAATTTACTAAAATATTAAAATCTACCATAAGATTTAATAATTCCTAGTTTCTTTGAATCCAAACAATTCTATTAACTAAGCATTTTTATCTTCTTTTCAGTTCATTCGAAAAAAAAGTAGTTATAGGCAAAATTGAGAACTAGTTACAGTATAAAACTTTGCATGAAAATTTTAGGAAGTAAACTTTTCCTTACCAGTCATTGAATTTACTAAAATATTAAAATCTACCATAAGATTTAATAATTCCTAGTTTCTTTGAATCCAAACAATTCTATTAACTAAGCATTTTTATCTTCTTTTCAGTTCATTCGAAAAAAAAGTAGTTATAGGCAAAATTGAGAACTAGTTACAGTATAAAACTTTGCATGAAAATTTTAGGAAGTAAACTTTTCCTTACCAGTCATTGAATTTACTAAAATATTAAAATCTACCATAAGATTTAATAATTCCTAGTTTCTTTGAATCCAAACAATTCTATTAACTAAGCATTTTTATCTTCTTTTCAGTTCATTCGAAAAAAAAGTAGTTATAGGCAAAATTGAGAACTAGTTACAGTATAAAACTTTGCATGAAAATTTTAGGAAGTAAACTTTTCCTTACCAGTCATTGAATTTACTAAAATATTAAAATCTACCATAAGATTTAATAATTCCTAGTTTCTTTGAATCCAAACAATTCTATTAACTAAGCATTTTTATCTTCTTTTCAGTTCATTCGAAAAAAAAGTAGTTATAGGCAAAATTGAGAACTAGTTACAGTATAAAACTTTGCATGAAAATTTTAGGAAGTAAACTTTTCCTTACCAGTCATTGAATTTACTAAAATATTAAAATCTACCATAAGATTTAATAATTCCTAGTTTCTTTGAATCCAAACAATTCTATTAACTAAGCATTTTTATCTTCTTTTCAGTTCATTCGAAAAAAAAGTAGTTATAGGCAAAATTGAGAACTAGTTACAGTATAAAACTTTGCATGAAAATTTTAGGAAGTAAACTTTTCCTTACCAGTCATTGAATTTACTAAAATATTAAAATCTACCATAAGATTTAATAATTCCTAGTTTCTTTGAATCCAAACAATTCTATTAACTAAGCATTTTTATCTTCTTTTCAGTTCATTCGAAAAAAAAGTAGTTATAGGCAAAATTGAGAACTAGTTACAGTATAAAACTTTGCATGAAAATTTTAGGAAGTAAACTTTTCCTTACCAGTCATTGAATTTACTAAAATATTAAAATCTACCATAAGATTTAATAATTCCTAGTTTCTTTGAATCCAAACAATTCTATTAACTAAGCATTTTTATCTTCTTTTCAGTTCATTCGTAAAAAAGTAGTGTTACAGGCTAAATTGAGACTAATAACTACATAACACTTTGCATGAAAAATTTAGGAAGTAAATTTTTCCTTACCAGTCATTGAATTTATTAAAGTATTAAAATTTACCATAAGATTTAATAATTCCTAGTTTCTTTTAAGCTAAATAATTCTATTAACTAAGCACTTTTTTCTATCTTCTTTTCAGTTCATTCGAAAATAAAGTAGTTATTGGCAAAATTGAGAACTAATTACTACATAAAACTTTTCATGAAAATTTTAGGAAGTAAATTTTTCTTTACCAGTCATTGAATTTATTAAAATATTAAGATCTACCATAGGACAAGGGGACTCTAACCCATGATCCGTTTAACATTGAGGATATTTTACGTCAATCGTCGGGAATAGAAGGGGGTTACTCTCCCCACAGGAAGGACAATGACCGCGTTGACCATGAGAAAGGTCGAACAAAAAGTTAAAATAAATATAAGCTGCTATATAAATAAAGGAATAAAGTTTTGAGGAAATTAAAGAGTTATGTAAAAATTAATGATTAAATTGTCACAGTACACTAAGTGTAAATGTGACAGGTGTAATCACTGGAAAAAAAATCTATTGAAAGAAAAAAGAACAAAAACTTTGGAAAGATGTCCTTATTTTAAATTTGCTATTATGTAAATGTTAGCGGGTTTGAAAAGTATAGTTTATTCTACATAAAAATTTTGCTCGAGCTAAATTTCTATTGGTTAAAAATTTTAATTTCATAATAAAAATAATACGGGGTAATAAATTTTAAGCATTAGTGACCTTAGTGATGAAAGGATGCCCCTTTTGTCTGAAAGCCTGCCCGCCACTGGCCACTCATTTGAAGTTAGAGATTAATAAAAATAAGAAACTGACATTTTTCTAATTACTAAAGAAGAGAAATTTTTTTTTTAAAAAAAAGCTCTTTTTTATTGCATAATGCGAAATAATGGCGACTGAATAGTTTCTAAGGTAAAACAATATCAACTAAACATGAAAAAAATTTAAAAATTAAATAATTAGTTATATCTAATTAAATGTCAATTGTTTATTATTTAAAAAAAAATCAAATTTAAATTAAAATCTATATTCTAGTAAAAAAACATTGTTTCTTACAAGAATGCATATTTTAATACTTTGTAATAGTTGTATACTTCTATATCTATTAATATTATTATTATTTTTTTTTTAATATTCAGAAACACGTTTCAAAAACAATAACTCATCGTGTAACGAAAATTTTAATTAACTTTTAAAATATCAAATTTACTTTCATAACGAAAAAAGAAGAAAACATCAAAATGATATAAATATTATATAAAAGAGGTAGTGACTATTTTGTCTTATATAGATTTCTTTGTTTTGTTCCAATAAATAAGCATGCCATACATGAAATTTACTTTTTTAAATTTTATATTTATGCTTTTTTTCTTTCATGTATGAATTTTGCGTGTATTAATTATATCAGACAAGTTTCGAAAACAAAAAAAAATTCTCGTGATTTGAGATCATTTTTAATTGAAAGTCATAATAAACCAATTTGTTTTCATAACAAAACAAGCTGAAGAAGCATAAAAAATTATATAAGGATCGCAACGACTGCTTTGTTCTACTTTTAGAAGTGTGTGGAATCTTTTTTTTTCTCGTAAGTTCGAGTTCACAATCTATTCTGTTTTATTATGTAACGAATTAAATATAAGATTTGAATTCTCACCATAAACTCATAGAGCATTAAAAAATATAATGCCTAATCTACACAGCACACGTGATTCATCTATTGAAAGAAGAATCATTTCGAAAGGCCAATAAACCTGAAACCTCGTTTATAATGGACACGTGCTGTAGAACCTGTGACGTCAGGGCGCAGTGAATCGTTATGTAACAATTTTTAAAAATACTTACATGCTGAGGGCGCCACTAGGCAATACAAACAAAAGCTGTCAAATGAAATAACTTATTTCCCCACATCGTCCCTCGCGTGCTGACATTCAATACTAGCTACAAACTTGTGTTGATACATGTGTGTATGATTTCTGTTTTGTAAACACTTATGTTGCTGCACCATTTATCAATGATCTCCTTAATAATGCTCCTCGAATTAGACGTAAAATATAAACATCATTGCCCAGTTTCTGAACTTAAACTGAAATCTTATTTATATGAAAGACAATAGTTAATAAAATATGGGAGAATCCGGTCTGGAAGCTAGTTATAGCAGAAATAGTACCAAATATTTTGAAAGTTCCGATCGTTCTAATACAGAAAACAGCTCGTCTATTAATCGAATTAAACGGTTAGTTTATTCATTAAATCATAACGATAATCAAGATGGTCTGGTAACATATTCTCGTGCTTTTCAAGTTTACAGCTCGGATTTTCGGAATTTAGAATGTCTTGAAAGGTTTGTGGATGGCCTAATTACCAAAGCCAGGCAAAGTCTTTCCCGAAATATATTTAATCTAAATTATTTTCTTTGTGTTTTTTGTGGTGATATTTTAAGCGATCCTGTTACATTAAAATGCGGTCATTCTTTTTCAAAAAAATGTGTTTTGTCTGAAGCATATTCGGGTTCTTTTGATTGCTTAAAATGCCGTAAAACCTACAGTCATTCATATTTATCTGAACTGCAAACCAATGTTGTGATGTCAACTATCATTGAAAAGTTTTGGGCATATTCTGAGGAATCTTCTGTTAAAAGTGAAAATGAAGACAATAGACCTGGTAAGTTTAACAATTTCAAATTAAATAAACTTATGAATCCATTTATTGTTTTATTATACTTAATTTTTCTATCATGATTAACGGATAATTTATTATTAATTGAAGTTTATTAACATGTTATTATTTTTGTAGTTTGTTACTTAGATTTTGTAGTTTTATTACTTTAAATAAGTAAAGGAAATAAAGTTTGATTCATAGTCATAATTAATATGACTTTTCACTAGATTATATTGTAAAAGGAGATTAATCTATTTCTTAATATAATGTAACTAAATATAATGCACAGTCAGTTTTTATAGACTGGTTTAGAATAACAAGTTTTTTAAAAATAGATCAGTTAATTTACATTGTCAAAGTGCAAATTTTTTGGCATATATGTTTTGGTATTTGAAATGCCTCTTCAATTTTATGTATTTTAAAATTTTGTATTAATTTATCCAATTATACTTTTGTGAAAACACTAATTTTTAACATCTAATCCTTTTTTTTTGTTAAAAAATAACAATTTCAGTTTGCATATTTTTAAGTTTAGCATAGGTTTATGGATTTTTAAATTTTTCACTATAAAATGACCAATTGTGTACAAATATACCTGTGAATTTATATTTGTCAATTTTTGAAAAATATTTTTGTACATTGTTTTCCTTTTTTAAAATCACTCTTTTTCAATTTGCTTATTTTAAAAGCTATAAGCTATAGATTTCATTACAATAATTCATTATGATTTTAATTTTTCAATTTTGGAAGTATTTGTTAACTCTGAGTATGTTATCTAAAATTTTGAAATCTATTTCTTTATTTTAAAGACAAATTTTAGTACAAAAATTTATTTTTAATAAAATGTTGGATTGAAATTGACATGTTTACTTATTTATTCCATAATCCATTTTTCTACGTTTTTTTTTTTTCATTTAGTGATTTACTTGGATCAAGTAGTAAAAAAAGCATGTATAAGTTTAAATATAGTTTACCAATTTTGTGTTAAAAATAATTTAACTTATTTGTAATTTTTTTCAGAATGATTTATTTATTTATTTACTTATTATTTTTATTTATTAATATTATTTTACTTATTCATTAATATATACAGTGCTTTTAGATTTTTTTTTGAAATTTTTTATTTAGTGTTAAAAATTTATTTCATGAAATGATTATTTACAACTCATTGTTTAACGTCAAATTTACATTATTCAGTAGAAAAATTATTTAAAAAATTCTAGTGAATTTTTTAAATAATTTTTCTTACACTCTCCAAGGTTTAAGTTAATAATGCATTTGGTTAACAGTATTTATCCCTGATGATATTATTTGTATTAATAAGCATAACAAAACACTTTAAGATAACTTAACATTAAATTTTTAACTTTGACTGATTATGAAATCGGCTTAAATGTTAGGAACCTAATTGTTAGAAAACTACCAAGTTATCTATTCTATATATCTGTTTCATATCTCTACTTTTTATGGTAATATTTTACTATATAATTGTCTACTTTTTAGAACATATTTAGTACTGAACTTGTTATCTTAAAAACTCTCTATCTTGAAATTTTTTTAATGTCCCTTCAACTTGAGATATTGAGAGTATGCTCTAATATAGCTTCAAACTGTCACAGATATTATATATTACATTTTTGTAAATGCTAAAAGGTCTTAAAATTTAAAAGTGGTAACCTAAAAAAAACAGGCCGTGATCGGTTAATGCATTTGTGATCACTACTAAATGTTATTTTGTTAAGAAACTTTATCTGCATGAAAACTCTGTCCTACTAATTTTATAAATGTTGAAGTCTTGTTTAAAAATAGGAAATTCCTACTAGCACTAAGAGGAATTTAATAAATTCATTCTTGTCTACAAAAAAAAAATATTTTTTCCTTCTTTTTTTTTTAAGAGTGATTTTAAGTTCTAAAAAATAATTTTTTTCAATACTTAAAATTCTTAAATATAATCATGTCTTTTAAATCAGATTATGCTTCTAATGCACTATATATGTGGCAATTTATGCTAAAATCTATAAGACAATATACTTTATTGAAAACATTATTTCAGTGCATATTGCAACATGAAATTCTACCTCGAATTGGCAATTTTCCTTTTTTTTCTTCTTTTTTTTAAAAATCTTTTAATAAATGTTTCCCCCCCCTTTTCAAATTAAATTTTTTGAGAAAATGGAAAAATAACCATGTTGCCGAAATTACCTTATCATGCAGTTTTCAAAATGCATACAAACTAATCAAAATCGAATCAACTTAAACGTGTGTTGAAAAAGATTGAGGTAAGATGATTAAAAGTTGAGATTTTTAAAGTGAAAATTAAAGGCTCTCATATTGATTAATTTTAGTGAAGTTTTAAATTTTGCTAATTAAACTGCCATTTCTGCAGTCAGTTTAGCTAAAGTCTTTTATATTAGTACTTTTTATGTTTTTAATGCAACAGTAAAAGTTTTTATATATTGATCTTATATTTAATTATTCTTTTTCGATAAAATTTGCTTTTATTAAACTTAAGTAAAACAAGGCATACTTTTCTAAGTTTGCCATTTGCCCGTTTTAAAAGCAGTCTAGCTTATGTATACTGTTCCAAAAATGCCCTAATTTTTATTTATTTATTTAGGATATTTTTTTTTGTTAGTGTCTTGATCTTTTCTTTTACCTCTTCAAAATCCATTTTTTTTCCTTTTACATAGTGTTTAGCGTTTTTAAAAAGTGCTTAAAGGTGCTTATTTTCGTTATTTAAAAGCCCTTAAGGGTGCTTTTTTCATTGGGTGTTTTTAAAAAGTGCTTAATTTTCCCTTTTCAAAAATGAAATTTTTTTTCGTTACCATATCGATTTTCGCCACGTATTATGCAAAAGCGTGCTTTTCACAATGTTCTATTCAACGTTTTCACAATTCATTTCGGCCTACCGTCGGTCCATAGCCTATTAAAGCGCCTATCATTTTACATGTTTGATGAACTACTTGCGAGTACGTATGTGCGTCTACTGAGCTGAATTCAGTGAGATTATTGCCTTCTCATGTGCTACTCTGCGGCATATTACAAGATATTCTCAATTTCAGACGTCATTTTCCACCCTCTGATATCGAAACGAAAAATCTCTCGATCATTTTATAACGGCTAATAATATATAATTTTATAACGGCTATAATCAAGTAAAGAGTTCTTTGTCAGAAACTAGTTATTTTCCAATGATCATGTAAAGCATTTTGTTCGTGTATATAGTGCTTAAAAATATTTTTTGAGTGCTTAAAAGGTGCTTATTTTTTGTTGAAAGATTTGGCTACGCACCCTGTTTTAATTTCGCATGTTTTTCTTCTTCCTGCTATCTGCTGCTTGATTGTTATCGAAACAAAGAAATTTTTAATTATTATTGCGAAAATTGAATCTTGCTACTTCTTATCATAATGTTATGTTTAATTTTATTATAATTGAAAATAGTAAACTCGAAAAAATTTAAAGTGGAAAGAAATTTCACATTTTTATAGATATCGTCGTGAGTTAAATTTACTTTTCTTTCAAACGAGGAAAAATGCGCGGAAACGCTCTAGACGTTATTTTATTGATCGAATACTACGTTTCAATTCCAAGAACATAAATAACGAGTTTTACGTTTTAATTTGCTTAAGAAAATGCCTTCTTTCATTGTAGCATTATTTTACTCTATTATAATATCAAGAAAAAACTTAGTTTTTATTTTAATTTTCTTGAATGTTTGATTTGCTTATTAGAAATAAGTTCAGACTCACTTATTTGAGCACCTAGCGCGCAGTACGTAATCATCAGATTTATTAATATTTCATTAAACAATATATTAGTGTTGGGCGATATCGTGAATTTTAATATTGTGATATATCGTTAAAAATAACGGTATATTTTTTACATTGGTCAATATTTTCGCTACCTAATTACGGAAAAACATTTTTCTGAATGATAATTTGAAAAACTCGTAATCTTAAAAACGTAACAACAAATCTGAAAATTAAATTAATATTGTCGCTAACTAATGCAATGTTAAATTCGATATGATCGTTTTTTATAGTTAGCCAGCTATTATCGTTGTCAGTAATTATCATGATATTATAATTTTATGCTCTACATTTATTGTTAGACATGGTATTTATGATTTATTGTGAGAATATCGTTATAGTGATATTTAAAAACTACCGATGTTGTACAATTTATCACCCACTTTTACTATACATACATCAGGTTTAGGTATCACAGATAATAAATAAAACAACAATAACATATTTAGTTACCGTTTGTATTCCCGTGTTTAGGTAGAACTTTATTTTTTTAAATTCTTTACTGAATATAAAGCACTGTAATTTTTAATTTTGTCATGAGGTTTTTATGAATGATAAACATTTTTATGAATGATAAACACATTTTTATGAATTAAAACATTTTTATGAATTAAAACATTTTTATGAATGATAACTTAAAAAGTGCGTAATTTTAAAAACGTAAAAATAAATTTGAGAATTGATTTAGTATTATCGATAACTAACGCAATATTATATTCAACAAGATCGTTTTTTGTGGTTAATCAGCCATTACATTATCATATCCAAATAATACAGTTAACTATAATGCTCATGATATTATAGCATTAAATAATTATCATTGACAGTAATTATTGTATATTATCATTATCATTATAGTATATTATCATTGTTGATAATCATTTATGTGATCTGCATTTATTGTAAGACGTGGTATTTATGATTTATTGTTTTATTGTAAGAATATCGTTACCGCGGTATTTAAAAACAACCGATGTTGTGCGATTTATCACCCATCTTGACTATCATAGATATAAAGGCCCTATATTAGTCCCTGTTTTATTATAAAAAATGGTAAGATATATAATTCCTATGCATAGCCAAAACTTTTCTTTTTGAAATATTTGGACAGGTATCTGCTAGTGTTGTTCTCAGACTGCGCCAGGCTGTTATTGCAAATGGTAGTTATTTTGAAAATATTGTGGCGCCATCTGC